TCTAGGCTGCATGCATTCAGCCGCTCCGATATTCTGTGCAAAGTGATCGGCATTGGCACCCCGATACCAGCACTAAATTGCTGCCATGCACAGACCTCAGAGGCCTGCACAGCTGGCAAAAAAAATAGAGGGAATGCTACTCACCCAACATTAGGCCCAATCTAACGGGTATGTCCTTTAGGACTCAACCACCTAGTCAGTAGTGCTGCTGTTAAGTCACTGTTGGTGGTGGACTTTGAAATCCCCCACCCAGAGTGCATCCTGTGCCTTTACCACTTTCAGTGTTTACTCCAAGTGCCGCTCAACGTGGAGGAGCATTGATTCATCAGCCGAGGGAGAATGTCACATGATAATCAGCAAGCGGTTTCCTTGCCCACGTTCGACTTGATGCCGTGAGACCACCTGATGTCTGGAGCCAATATTGAGGACTTAAAGGACAACTCCCTCCTGACTGTATACCACTGTACCACCATCTCTACTGGGCCTGCCTTGCCAGTGGGACTGGACATGTTCAGAGATGGTGATGGTGGTATCTGGGATGTTGCCTGTGGGGTAATAGGTAATTAGTACGAACAAAGGTGATTGTAATTGCTGGAAGCCAAGCACTTCAGGACATATCCCTGCAGGAGTTGCTTGGTGTAGATGTTTTCTATATTAATCTATTTCATGATGTTATCAAAACTCCCCAGCAATAGACGGTGCTTGAACCCAGGCCTCCTGGACCAGAGGTAGAGATGTACCACTGTAATTCCTTAGTAGAGAAACTTTCTAGTAAACCTGCTCAGAAATGGAGCAGGTAGGACTTGAACCCAGCTCAAAGGTCAGGACACACATCATACCACAAGAGCTCAACCATCTTCAGCTGCTTCATCAATGTCCTTTCCTCTATCATGAGATCAGAAGTGAAGATGTTCACTGATGATTGCACAGTGTTCAGCACCATTGACAGCTCTTCAGATAATGAAACAGTCTGTACTAACGTCCAGGCTTGGGCTGGTAAGTGGTAAGTTACATGTACACCAGACATAGACCATCTTCAAATAGAGAAAATCTGACCGTCTCCCCTTGATTTTTGATTTTATTGTCACATAGAAAATAGATGCAGGAGTAGCCATTCAGCTCTTCGAGCCTGCACCACCGTTCAACATGAATATGGCAATTTTAAAATCCCATTCCTGTTTTCTCTCCATACCCTTTGATCCCTTTAGCTGCAAGGGCCATGTCCAGCTCCCTCTTGAATATATCTAATGAACTTGCCCCAACAGCTTCCTGTGGGAGAGAATTCCACAGGTTCACAACTGAGTGAAGAATTTCTTCCCTATCTCGGTCTTGAATGGCTTACCCCTTCTTCTTAGACTGTGACCCCCAGTTCTGGACTTTCCTAACATCAGGAACATTCTTCCCATATCTAGCCTGTCCTATCAGAATTTTAAAAACTGAAAGAACTGCGGATGCTGTAAATCAGGAACAAAAACAAAGTTGCTGGAGAAGCTCAGCAGGTCTGGCAGCATCTGTGAAGGAAAAAACAGAGTTAACGTTTCGGGTCTGGTGACCCTTCCTCAGAACTGAAGGTGGCTGGGAAGACATCGGTTTATATGAGATCCCCTTTCTTCTTGTTTTTTTTTATTTTCTTTTCACGTGTATTTTAAGTAAGAATATAATAAAATACAGTGAAAAGCTTTCACATGCAACACTATTACCGTCACTATTCACCACCATCAGCATCTTGGGGTTATTATTGACCAGGAACATAACTGGACCAGCTGTGTAAGTACTGTGGCTACAAAATGCTCCATCTCGTTCAGGGTAAAGCAGCCTGTTTAAGTGGTACCTTATCCTCCGTCTTTAAACATTCACACTCCTCCACCTTCTCACAATGCTGCGGTGTGTACCATCTGTAAGATGCCGTGCACCAGCCTAATGAGCCATCTTTGACAGCAACTTCTAAATTTTGGACTATATGGCATAGAAGCAGAATTAGACCACTCAGCCCATCAAATTTATTCTACCATTCAATCATGGTTGATGTTTCTGAACGCCATTCTTCTGCCTTCTCCCCATAACCCTTGATCTCCTTAAAATAAAGAACTAATCCATCTCTGTCTTAAATATACTCCATGACTTGGCTTCCATAGCTTCCTGCGGCAATGAGTTCCACAGATTCAGCACCTCTGGCTGAAGAAATTTTTTCTTCTCTCAGTTCTAAAGAGTCATCCCTTCTCAATGAGGCTGTGTCCTCAAGTCCTAGTCTCTCCTAGTGGAAATATCTTCTCTACATCTACTCTATCCAAGGCCTTTCAATATTCTGTAAGTTTCCATGAGCTCTCTCCTCATCTGCTCATCCTTCTAAACCCCATCAGCTAGAGACCTAATTTGCTCCTCATGTCAAGCCCTTCATCCCCGAGATCATTCTTGTAAACCTTCTGTGGACCCCCTCCAATGCCAGCAATCCTTCCTTAGAAAAGGACTCAAACTGCTCACCGTATTCCAAACGTGGTCTGACCAGAGCCTTCTGCAGCCTGAGCAATACATCCCTGCTGTTGCATTCTAGCATAACTGAAATGAATGCTAACATCGCATTTGCCTTCCTAACTGCCAACTGAACCTGCATGTTAGCTTTAAGAGAATCCTGACTAGGATTCCTAAGTCCCTTCGTGCTTCACATTTCTGGAGCCTTTCTCCATTTAGAAAATAGTCTGCGCTTCTACTTTTCCTCTCGAAGTGCATAACCTCATACATTTGGACATTACATTCCATCTGCCACTTTTTGCCCACCCTCCTTGCTTGTCCAAGCCCTTCTACTGCCTTGCTGCTTCCTAAACATGACTTGTCTCTCCCCCTGTCTTGTGTCACCTGCAAACTTAGAAACAATGCCTTTAGTTCCTTCATCCAGATTGTTAATGTATTACATAAATAGTTGTGGTCCCAACCCTGACCCTTGTGGAACTCCATTAGTCACCGGCTGCCAACCTGAAAAAGACCGTCTGACAGTTAGCCAATCTTCTATCCATGGCTGTACCTTGCCCCTAACACCGTGGGCTCTTGTCTTATTTAGCAGCCTCCTGTGTCGCACCTTGACAAAGGCTGTCTGGGAATCCAAATAGATCATGTCCACTTGCTCATCATCTCCACAAAGAATTCTGACGGATTTGTCAGGCATGACCTCCCTTGACAAAGTCATGCTGACTCAGCCCTATTTTACCAGGCACTTCCTTAATAATGTAATCTCATCCTTAATAATGGACTCTCAAATCTTACCAATGACCGAGGTCAGGCTAACTGCCCTGTGATTTCCCTCCCTTAAACAGAGGTGTTTTACATTAGCCATTTTCCAGTCCTGGTGACTTATCCACCTTCAGAACTTCCAGGTTCCCCAGCACCACCTTCGTGCGGCCAACACTCACTTCTGCCCCCGACTCTTTTCAAGTTCTGATATGCTACTGGTGGCTTCAACCATAAAGACGGATGCAGAGTACCTATTCAGTTCCTCCACAATTTCTTTGTTCCTTGTTACTACTTCTTCAGCCTCATTTTCCAGTAGTCCAGTGTCCCCTCTGGCCTGTCTCTTACGTTTTTATACATATAAAAGTCTTGCAATCTTTTGTATTATGACCTAGTTTGCCTGTATATTTCTTCATCTTCCTCCCTTATTACTTTTGTAGTTATTCTCTGCTGATTTTTAAAGACTTCCCAATCCTCCGGCTTCCTACTAATCTTCACCACATTGTAGGTTTTCTCCTTCTGCTTTAAATGATGTCCCTGATTTCCCTTGTCAGCTATGGTTGCCTTGTCCTCCCTTTAGTATGTTGGTTCTTCCTTGATACGAATTTCTGCTGTGGCTCCTGAATACCCCTAGAAACTCCTGCCATTGCCGCTCCACCATTCTTCCTGCTAAGTTCCCCTTCTGATCAACTCTGGCCAACTCCCCCCTCATGTCTTTGCAGTTATCTTTACTCAATTGTAATGCTATTACATCTGATTCCAGGTTTTCCCTCAAACTGCAGGGTCAATTCTATCATATTGTGGATTCTGCCCCTAGGGGTCCTTCACCTTAAGCTTCCTAATCAAGTCTGCCTCATTGCACATGTACCAAATCCAGAATTCCCTGTTCCCTAGTGGACTCTACCACATGCTACTCTAATCATCTTGTAAACACCCAATAATCCCTTTTCTTGGGATCTGCTACCAACTGCATTTTCCCAGTCTACCTGTATGTTGAAGTCCCCCACAATAATTGTAATAGTGTCTTTCTTACATGCCTTTTCTATCTCCTGATCAATGTTCTGCCCCATATCCTGACCACTGCTAGGGTTCAGAAGAATGAGAGATCTATTTGAGCTACATATTATGCTATAGTGAATTGACAAATTGGATATGGAGCACCTGTTTTCCTTATGGGGCATTCTAGAACGAAAGGTCATTGTTTTAAGCTAAGGGATGATTGATTTAAAACAGAGATGAGAAGGAATTGCTTCTCTCAGTGTTGTGAATCTGTGGAATTCACTACCCCAGAGTGTGATGGATGCCAGGACCATGAATACATTTGAGGAGGAGATGGACAGATTTTAATTAGTGAGGGGTTAAAGGGTTATGGGGACTGAGCAAGAAAGTGGAGTTTAGGATGAGGGTGAGATCATCTGTGATCATGATAATTGTCAGGGCAGGTTCAAGGGGCTGAGTTGCCTACTTCTCCTAGTTCTTATGTTCTTAAGGTAATTAGTCAGCTTCTTTGTCTGTAAAGAGGATACTCCTCAGTTATGTGTCGCATTGTTTGTGTCTCTCCACAAATATACAGTGGGTTTAAACTGAGGCTCCAGCAGTGGATATTGGCAGTGCAGGGGTTGTTGCTTGACCTGAACAAGGAAGCTCATGGACATAGACTTTTTGAGGTAGTTCTGTGTTGGAAATTCTCTGTATTTGTTATGCTTTGAATACCAAAGTAACAGGATATTCTCAGTCAACACTTATGTCAATAACTTACTGTTTGATTGTTTTACCAGGATGAAGGTCCAGGAACACCAAAGAAAAAGAAAGAGACAAAAAGAAAATTTAAGTTGGAACCACACAACGATCAGCTTTTCCTTGATGGAAATGAGGTAAAGAACATCCATTTAGGTTTCTGGCCTGGAGGAAGACCATTTGGCTAATCCTGTCTGCTAGCTTCGTGTTAGCACAACGCAAAGCTATTTCTACTCCTCTACTATCCCCCGTACTTCTGTGCTTTTATACACCCACCTTTAAAAGATTTAGTCATCTCTGCCTTATCCACTTGCAGTAATGAAGCATTCCATGCTCCAACATTGTCATCTAAAAGGCAGCATGATAGCTTAGTGGTTAGCCCTGCTGCCTCACAGCACCAGGAACCTGGGTTTGATTCCAGCTTTGGGTGACTGAATGTGTGATGTTTGCACATTCTCCTCATGCCTGCGTGGGTTTCCACTGGATGGTCCGTTTTCCTCCTCTGGTCCACGGATGTGCAGGTTAGCTGGATTGGCCCATTGGTAGCTTGCCCCATTGTGTCCAGGGATATGTAAGCTAGGTGGGTTAGCAATGGTTAATCCAGAGCTACGAGGATAGGGTAGGATACTCTTCAGAGGATTGACTCCGACTCGATGGACCAAATGGCCTCTTTCTGCACTGTAGGGATTCTATGATTCTAACTGTTTCTCTGAATCTCTCTCCTCACCCTCTCTGATTTTACAGTTTGTGAATGATTGGATCAGTCACTGAATCACAGAAGCATAGAAGGTCATTTTATCAATCATGTCTGCACTGACTTTCTGAAAGAGCTTATCACTTAGAGCCATTCTCATGCCTTCTCAAATAGCAGTCCCATTCATTTTTGAAATATCTCAATTGAACCACACAGTGGATTCAAGACCTTAAATGCTCTCTGCATGAAAAAGTTATTTCTCATCGGTTTTCCATCTCTTGTCAATTATCTTAAATCAGTGTCCTCATGTTTTGAATACCTCTATAGGATCTCTTAGCATTTGCTTCTCTTCCCCGAAACTGTGGTGCCCAGAACTGGAACCAATACTCCAGCTGAGGCAAATCTAGAGTTTTATATAAATTCAACATAAACTCATTGCTATTGTGCTCTGTCCCTATGAATGTAACCTAGGTTTTTGAATGCTTCATTAACGACTCTCTCAATCTTTAATGACGAAGTTCCTCTGCTTCTGCACCATGTGAATTGTGCCCTTTATCTTGTATCGTGTCTCTATGTTCTCCCTACGAACATGAATCACTGCACATTTCATCACACTGAACTTCTGTCACCTGTCCACTGGTATGTCCTTTCATGCTTGCTACACAAATCAAAAGAAAGATCCTGTCCCTCAGCAAGTTCTCCAAGCTATATGCCATCTTGCCTTGGAATTACATCAATGTGGCATCGCTGTCATTGGGTCAAAATCCTAGAATTCACTAAATGAGTGTTGGTGTCCCAACACTTCAAGAATTACAGTGGTTCAAGAGACAGCTCACTATCACTTTTCCCTGGGCAATAAATACTGGCCTAGCCAACAATGCCCACATCCCAAATGAATACAAAAAGTAAAATACCACAACCTCTAAATTGAAATGTTTTACATTTTTTAGGTTCCTACATTCATTTTATTTTAAAACCTACTTAATTTACCAATTTAAAAATGTGAAAGAAAAATGCAACTTGTGGCTTACAATATCTCCTCTTTTTGCCAGTGATACTGTTTACCAAACCTCCTAATCAATGATCCTCCGAGTTGCTGCGGACCTCCCTGCTTGTCAACCCTTGGTGACTCCTCCCTAGGTGGTGGCCTCCTCACTTCCCATCTACAAGTTCTGGCCTCTTCTTGCTCCCAGCTTCTAAACTGCAGCTTCCCTCTTGCCACTTCCCTCTCTGAGGCTAGAATTCCCATTCAATGTTGAGAGTCAAAGCAAAGGTGGTGCTGTGATGCCGTGGAAGTGAAAGTTCCAATGGTTCACAAATGCTGAGAGTCATTCAATCCATTTTTCTTTAAATGCTGCTGTTTCCCTTTCCCTCTCTACTGTGAGCAAGAACTTCAGAGAAGAGCAGTGTGGTAGAAATCCCCAGCACATCTGAACCATCAAGGCTCACATTTCCACAGCATCTGAATACAAGTAAAAGAGAGGGAAATGGTTTGTGGGTGAGGCTACCACTCGGATATTGGGGCAGAGGAAACTGGGAAATAGGTTGGTAAAAGGTCTCAATTCAGTCATCTTAAAGTGGGAGAAGGCTGAAAGTTGAAGATCAGAATGGAGAAGAGAACACAAGTGGGAGTTAGGGTGGAGAAAAGGAAACAAGTCAGAGGTGAGGTACAATCGAGATATACAGGATTTGATATTATAATGAATTGCAACATTCGCCAAGATTAAAAGCCTATCAACTTACTGACATTAAAGGGGGAAACCTTAAACAAGGACTTGCTGTACCTGACATAGCAAAACAAACATGAAAATGGAGATGCAAAATATGTTCCAGTCTGCCAGCAGTAAATGTAAGTTATTCAGAAAAAGGCAGTTGATAATCTGATCTCTATCTTTTGTACCTTTTATCAGATATTAAAGATATTGTCACAAAGTAGAGTGGATTAGCAGTTTTCAAGGTAGTGATCTGTGTTTTCTCACCTAACTCTGCTTTCCTGCATATTATTTCTGTCAGGCCTATGCAGAGACTTTGGAATCTGTTGCTTTAATGTTAGAAGGAATTCTCAGTTAGCCCTTTTCTTTGACTTTCTTTCTTTAAGGTATACGTGTGGATATATGATCCTGTTCATTTTAAGACATTTGCAATGGGACTGATATTAGGTATGTTGCTCAAATACCAACATATTTAATCTGTATGTGTGTGTTATCCTGTATATTCTCCCTATATGTTGGTTCTGTCTGTCCTTCCCCTTCCTCTACACCCATCCCATCTTTCTGTCAACAACAGGCAATTACACTAACCTATTTTTTTTTGGTAATTTAACAGTCATTGCAGTGATTGCCGCTACACTGTTTCCCCTTTGGCCTGCAGAAATGCGAGTAGGTGTTTACTATCTTAGTGTTGCAGCAGGCTGTTTTGTTGCCAGTATCCTCCTCCTCGCTGTGGGTGAGTAAAGATTCATGTTTGTAGAATTTGTATCTGAAGAAGAGTTTCTGATTCATTTTAAAGGTTGAGTAGATTTTACTATATCCAAATAAAAACTGTCAAACAAATAAAGGAATGTCAAAGTTCATTACATTTCTTTCATAAAAAAATTTGCTGACTTGTATCCAAGTCAAGGTAAAGAATTCTCCCATGCCTATGTTCCCTCTCTTTATGCAATCACCTACAACTCTCCAAGATATCTCCATCCTTCCATTCTGGTCGGTTGGGCTGCCCTGGTCTTAATCACAGCACCATTGGTGATTGAGCCTGCAGCCAATTGACCTATGGAAATACCTCCACTGCCTAGAGGAATATCAGCATTTCCATCATCCTTAGAAGTACTTCTTTTGACTAGATCACTGCTTAACTGTCTTAATATCTCCAGTTCCAAAGAAAGTCATATTAAACTTGAAAAATTAATTTTGTGTATCTCCACAGATGCTGCCAGACTTACCCTGAGTTTTTCCAGTGCTTTCTATTTTCATTTTTATCTCATGTGGCAGCCACCAAATTTTGTTTGATAGCAATCCAAGCACCTTGAATTATTTGAATAAATTGAGCACTATATGAATACAAATTGTCAGTGTACTTCCCTATCCTTTTGTTTTCCTGACATTGTGCTGCATTTAATCCAAGCTGCTTTCATACTTTGTTCTGTCCACATCCTTACTGCCATGATACCTGGTTCTATCCATTCAGTACTTGGTTTCACTCTCACACTGCTGCCTCATTGTGCCCATTCCTGCTGCCATGACATCTTAAAATTTCATCTGTCACTTTACTGCTGACCTGACGGGAAGGTGTTGTCAATGCAAGACCATAGTCCAAGGCTTAAAAGAGGACCTGTCAGAACAGTGCATAATCTGGAAAAATTGTCACAACTCATTGAGATGGTGTGCTGAAAATCAAGCCCCACTATTCTCGAAGTCATCACACTGTGATGGGTTGGTTTCACAATCCTTGGTCTGGGGTCTTTTTCCCTTAGGCTTTGGAATTATCTGTTACAGTATCTAAGATTTGAATCTTCCTGCTCTTTCAATAGAAAATTGGAGAGAGCAACTTAATAGGGAAAGGGAAGTGAGAAAGATATAGATACAACCAACTTCAGA